ATCGATAGCCAGTAATTGTCACAGCGTTTGAAGTTTCAGATCCTACATTGTTCCGACTGATACTCGCAGTCAAACGTTCCATCAAATTAATCATCATGCGGACCTCGAATGTCAACTCCAGGAGAGCCTTGAGTAGGAGTTTGGATGGCAGACGTGGAGATACACACAGAACGTTCCTGGTGAGCTCTATGATAATTACATGTTGAGGCTGAGTCTGATCAGCTTGAAGAACCAATCAGCTCGATATGTTCCTTTCCATGTCCGAGAGATCCGTGAACTGGCAGTGTCATTCGACGTTCCCGTACCGGGCTGTCTGATTTCCCGCTTCTGTTATAAGGGGCGCACATCCACAATACTAGTACTTGCACTCTTTCCTCTCTGACCACAATCGATTTGTACTGGGATCAAACAAGGCTTGGTTGAACGATCTTAAACATCTCTACACAGGACACTGGTTATATCGAGCTCACGAGACAGTGATGTCCTTGGAAAACGCAAAGGAGATAGAGAGCCTGGTGGTGAATTCTTTCGGTATTCCATGTGTTACCCGATCCTACGTCCAGTATACTCATAATACATGTTACAGGTGCTGGACTTATCGGGGCGATAGTGACAGCAATGTGAGCAAGTCAAGTTTCGAATGCCGAGACCGCCATCAAAGACCATCTCTCTTTCTAATTATGAACATTCCTCCCTCAGGTTGTACGGACTTACTACACTCCAGGTAAGGATCTAGCTTGTAACGAAAGTTTCCTAAGCTAAAGATGCATCCCAGACGTATCTATACTTCATCAATTATCCCAAAGATGAAGTGAAGATCAAGATGCTGGTAAGGTTCTGTCTGGAGGGATAGACATGACGCCACTGCTCGCCGTACTAATGGCGATCTCACAGGTTTCTATCGTCTGGTATGTATGCGTGCGTGCAAAATCAATCCTGCTTCTGAGCATGATATATCCAAAGGATACTCGACTCTCTTCATATCACACTCGGTATGTATACACTGCGTTCATTTAAGTACGGATTATGCCAACTCGAGCTTATTGTCTTATTCTCCGACAGTCACTTTTTGCGTTTACCACTATCTTGTGAGCTGCATAAGAACGTTCATACACTGATTCATACCCCTCAACACCGACCAGGTTATCAACTTCTCTAATCCCGCGGGTCTGGCCATCATCAACTGGTGCGTAGCATCTCCTTCCTACTATCTGGCACCAACAGCACGATCCTGATCTTTCCTCTTTTTCAGGTCTCTCAATGTGAATCCGCAATTCAGTGTCTCCGTTACAGAAGCTCATCATTATCCATATTGAATCCTTTGGCAGATCACTGTCATGCTCAATGTGAGTGTAGAAGTCCTTTACAATAGAGATCATCGATGATGATCGTTAACAATAATCCATCATGCATCAGCTTCTACTTGCTGTACTAGTTCAAAGGTGATTTCAGTGAGAATTCTAACAGTTCGTAGCACTGATTTCATCAATCCGTCATTACATTCAGCTTCTTCACGAGACAAGTGTTCAGCAGTAAGCCCCGTTCGAGGATCAACCGAGTATCTCCCGCCTGATGTTCCTACCTAGTCAGCAGAGGAGCAGTGAGATGGGCCTTGGTGGTTTTACTTGGTATCACAGTTACAGGTCATTTCTGTAAGTATTGAACATCCTCCTCGCGAGTCAACGTCTGAAGGCTCTCCTGGAACCACTAGGTTTTGGTATCGGTGCGTATTGCGAGCGTGTTTCACAATCGCAGTTGGCTCAAGTCTAACCCTTTTCCTTAGAAACGGTTGCCTATATGTAAGTCCCTGTCTTGAAGTGCAGCTTGAAATCGTGCTTTGCTTTTCAAATCGTCACTCACTCTGAGCTCGATACACCTATAGATTCGTTAGCAAGACATTTGATACATTCCAGGAGTCTTCCACGGTCAAGGTAATCGCTCTTACTCGCACCTCTACTTTGAACCCTATGCCAGTTTTTCTGACAGAACATTCGTGCTTTCTCGTAGCTTGCAGCAGTAACGCCTTTCGCGGTTTTCGCAGTACTCTCGGACGTGTTAATCGCAGTGTCCTTGTGCGTGTTATTACACGAGAGCCGGACGGGATGGGGCAAGTGTGTAGTATGATATCTTCTCACTAGGATTTTTCACTGATTACTTTCATACGTTAGGACAAATACCTTGATCACGACACTTATCGTCTACGCTGTGAACCGTTGCTTGTTAACATCGTATGCGATTTTCTCGTCATGCTGGTCCCTTTTAGTATCCTCACCCAAATATTTACAGAGCAGTAGCAATCACTGAAGTGATCGTCTTCATCCTCCATCCAACGAGTCTATGGTTCCTTGCGATTGATTTTGTCATTGGGAAATGTGAGCACGGTACCAGAAAAGTCTTGATCATTGAACTGACTTTTTTTTTTCCGCTACAGTGTACGCGAACAGCCTCCTTGCATCACTCAACTCCAGGCATTATCTACGGGAACCAGGCTCTCATAGCAACAGCAACACGAACTCGCACTCACAATCGTCAAATGTGTCATCGAGTTTCCATGCAGTGGTAGGTCCTCCGAATAGTGATAGTTCCGAGAGTAAAAGTACACAAAAGTCAAGGGTGAGCATTTCTTCCAGTGAGATTTTTCTGAATTGACTGTATGAATTTATCACTGTGTCGGACTAGTTTGGTCGCAAAGCGAACGAGATGCCCCTCTCGGTTTCTGTTGCTCTCGACACTTTCAGGACTACTACTAGTCAAGAAGGTCACTATACTGGGTATCATCCAGGATCCCAAGGAAAAGCATCTTCGTCAGGATCAGAGCCTCCGATTTTCTTGCCTTGATTTGGTCACTGCGTATGGACGATGAAGGAATTAATATTGTTCCTGCACGAACTTTTTGGAACTCGATATGACTTTCACACTATTCAATCTCAATATTTATCGCTCTACGACTTACGCAAAGATATGCAGGGAAATGATAATGTACAATGTAGGTAGCGGATTCAAGAAAATACAGATACTGTCCGACTTTATGACCTTTATGAGCCTCTAATCGACTTCTCCTCTAATCAACCTCCTCCCCTCCTCAACCTTCTCCTCTTTCCCACCAAGCTTCCCAGAGATGATCTTCGCCTCTCCCTTGATTTTCGTCAAAAGGTTCGTCTTCTTCCTCGACGGCGTACTAGTAGTCGAGCCAGACGATACAGACTTATCATGCTGACGCACCGCTCCTTCGTCTTGATCATAAGAAGAATTGGAGAACGCTGAGGAGACCGAGGTATCTTTCGTATGTGTGTGAGTATGCGCTTTGGGTGTAGACAGCTCGTTCTGATCTTTATATCTAGCAGAAGAATCCACAGGAGAGACAGGCGAATCAGGCGAAGCAGTCGTCGTGGCTGTGTCTGCTTTGGAGGTGAGAGAGGGAGTAGAGGGGAATTCGGAAGAGAGTTTCTCGTGCCCGACGTTGGCGATGGTAGATTCGTTCTTGCTCTGAGGAGATTGGGGTAATGTGGATCCGGCTGAAGGAGAAGCGACGGGTACGGAGGAGGGTGAGGAGACGGTGTGAATGACTGGGATGGTGGTGATGGGAGGGATGTTGGGGACGGGGATGTCGGCGTCGATGGCGGTGGAGGAGGTGACGGTGTCCTGCAAGCATTATGTTAGACGATGTTCAGATAGATTTAGGAGAAGTTGATAGATGAAATGGTATATTTGTGGCCGCTACTCACGTCCAGGCAGCGATCAACGACATCACGTTGATACTCCTCGTCCAAGGGCACACCTTGCCAACGTGCACCCACTCCTGAGGCAGCCAGAGGATGCGTACGCGGAGAAAGATGAATGGGAACCGGCTTTACCGGCCCTTCAGCTTTCGACGGATGCGTGGGTGAAGAAGAGGGCTGATTATCACCGTAAGAACGCGAACACGGATATACACACAACGATAACAAATACAGATGAAGGCCCTATGAAAGAAACACTAGACTTACGGGTACTTTGTTATCCAAGTCTGCTTCAGTGAAGCCAGGCGCAGTGAGAGTGTCAACAGACTTCTCTATTGTGGGCGTAGCAACTGATGAACCGTATTGAGCCACCGTGCTAACGTTCGTCAGCGAATCTGAGGCTCCGGTGTTTTGCTGTTGGACCCTCAACGTGTTTTGTGAAGAAATTTCGCGTTCTAAAGGCAACGTTGCAACGCCTTCTTCGCTAATCGGTCCAGGGAGAGAACCGACGCCTTTAGAAGAAGGAGTGTGATTGACTGAGGTTTCCGTGGAGGGAAGAGAGACTCCTTGAGCATCTTTCAGACGGCCCTCGACATTAGATGCGTCGACAGCTTCAGATCCACCGGCTGGAGAAGCAAGTTAATGTTGAGAAACGCATATAGACGACGAAAAGCGAAGACTTACGGAAATACTCAACAATCTGAGGCGGGAGATATTGAGAAGCGGTCACACTAGCGTTGTACAAAGCTTCCTTGACGCCTTCGAGACCTCCACCGATGTTGCCTACTTCCGGCAAGCTGTGGACGACATCAACGACAGTCGCAGAAGCAATGACAGCAGCCTCTTTAGCGCGGTCGGTTATTGCATTGACATCGATAGTATTTCCTAGGGGTACCTGGGTTGAAGGAGTTCGTGGATATGCTCCAGGCAGGTCAAATCCTGGTGTTGTCGCTGCGGAAGACGAAGGAGCAGCAGAAGGGTGGTTGCCCGCGTTGCTGGGGACAGAGTTGAGGGTTTCGTTGGCCCATTCGTGAGCGGGTGTTGGAAGAGTTTCTGAAGAGATTACTGGTGCGTTGTCCATGGTCTATATCGAGTTGGTGGTGGAAGGTGGTGGCGTGAGTAGAGTAGAGATAGAAAAAGTTGTAAAGGAGTCGGGAGACATAATTCGTTGCAGGTTTTATATTTCTACTCCAGTTGGCTCCATTGAATGACGTCGGAGGAGGTGAAGTCATCGTGAGAGGCGCATAAGCGCTCAAAATATACGCAGGGAACAAAAAGAAACTGCCCCAGAGAGGCTCGAACTCTCGACCTTCCGATAGTGAATGATAACGCTGATCAGATCTGCTGGACATAACAGTCGGACGCTGTAACCAACTCAGCCATGGGGCATTGTCAAAGCAAACCCCAATAATGATCATGGCACTTCCGCATCTGAATTATACATTACCCTCACTTACAGCATGACAACATTCAGTTTCCTAAGTCTTTCCAAACTCAACCCATAGTCAGAAATCGTCAGAAGACACTGGTTTGTGCAATGCCGCTGCTATAATGTTTTACATTTTCGGAACTTGAACTTGCTTCAGGCTCGAAATTCGTCCTGCACGAATCGCCGCCGCATCGGGGAAGGCTGTGTTTGTTTGATATTCATGTCGCGTTGGTGTTGAAACTTTGACTCTTGAGCTTCAGCCTCACCACCTACGCACCAGTCTGCAACCCCTGCTGTGCTAATAAATGTTCATGAAACAGTCATCCTGCTATCGATTTCGACAGTCAAGATGTATCCTATCAACCTCAATCACCTCTACTATGATCACCCTTGTTTCCAGCCAAGATTTATTCGAACATTCTCGACATCATTCGAAGAAAAAAATCCCTCATCCAAGACGTATCTACATCCTCTACTACCATGGTTTCCCGTCCTCACCTGTGCAGTATGCTCACAGCTTCGCTATGCAATAACCTCGATGCAGTTCAAGCAGCTCCGAAAGTATTCATCCAGGCCTGAAATTTGCTGTGCTAGTTCCGGCGGTTCCCTTTTTTCTCTTACTTATGCGGAATATACGACGGCTATACAAAAGGTGGATGATTCGAATCTGATTGAGCATATAATTTCCCCCAATTTCTCGTCGTCCTTTTTCCACCACCACTACACGAGACTCTCAGACTCTAATTTCCCCCGCCTCATTGGGTTTCTTTGCTGGTCAAAGAAACACTTGCGTTATTCACTCGCTGCTGGAAAATACGAATTCGTCTATCATGCGCCTGGTTGCGATAAACATTCTTCTTGGACTTTGTTTGTTGGTGCGCTCGGTACCCATGCCACCTGGACGTGCTCGGACATTCGATGTAGTAAGTCTCTTTGCGTGGCTATGTTGCAATGGACATCATACTAATGCCTCACCTCTCCATCTTTAGTCTACCCTTTATTATAAGCCGTTACCCCCATTACCGCCTGGCGCTCAAAATCGCGATCGGCAGCGGGGCGGCTACCTGTATGCCAATCCTGGACTTGCACCCCCTCCGCGTCCAAAGAAGTCACCTAGCCCCCTCCCCTCCAAATCCGACAATCTCGCTTACAATGTTGTTGATCCTGCCACCGATAAGGCTGAGCGTAGGACCGCCAACACCCTTGACCTTGGCAGACCTAGCAAAACCACGTTGTTTACCCGATATGATTGGGGATTGCAGATAGGATCGAGCCATGATCTGCAAGGGGAGGAGGAAGCTGAGAGCGTACTCATAGGGTACTTGACACATTCTCCCGAGGTAGCTAAATGCGCTGGAGTGGACGTGGTGAATGCCAAGGACATCAGGTTCAAACTCAGTTATCCTTATTCCCAGGCGGATGCGAAACATTGCGTTCGGGCTACGGTGCAGATCAGTCCCAAGTCGAAGGAGTGCGCTTGTGACCCTTTCTGCTTCGTGACGGCGGCCAAAAAGGAGAAGAATGGAGAAGTGGAGTTCAAGGGGAAGATCAACTCGTATAAGGATGGCTGGCCGTTAGATGTCACTGCCAGTCAGCCGAGGGAATCTTTCAATCGCATTCCAACAAACATTGAGCAGTTGAAGCAGACGGTTGCGTAGAAGTATATTTATTGGTGAAAGATGGACATTATGGTTATTTATTTTTTATGTAGTACAGTAATGACGATTCGTTAATCACTCGCTGGACGAGTAAGATTTCGACTTTGAGTAGGAGACGATAAGGGTTTCAAGATTTCGTTTCCTGACTCTCAGTGTGAAGATCATTGATACTTACTATTTATACAGTAATAGTTGCTCTGCGGAAGTATTGAATAATAATATTGAACGCTCATGATGAGACCAGATGATGAATCATCGATTCACCCTCTGACAGTGATCCTCTCTGATCTTACATCTTGGAAGTTCCCGCATACAAAGAGGTGGGGCGGCTGGTTGAGGAGAGAAAATGAAGTATACTGTTTTGTTTTTGTATCTTACTTTCAAGTTATCTTGACTCGATTCCTCAGTCGGATATCCAATATGTGTAAGTAGAGACATGACCAATGCTAAACCGAGCCAAACTTCCAGTAGCCGCGACTACCCCATGTCACATTCAGAGCCCGCCCGACATCGAGAATCGCCGGCTTGAGAGTTTTGAATATTTCTGAGCCTCGGCGATCGACCAGGAGAACTCAAAAAACGTTGAAGAGTCTGAGCGCCTATTGAGGCGCCTCTTTTTCAATGCGATTAATCCAGTCACGTGCACCGACGTCGATCGCGCTTCTGCTGAATCAATTTTTGAGACTTTCTCACTTTTCGCGTCATGAAGCGCGACAGAAACCCTTTTCAGGGTTTTTCTACGACTATCACGACCTTTTCTTCTTATACCCTTGAACGAGCTCTGCGATATCCCTCCTTGTCCCTCTTTACGCATTTCACGACATATACCAAAAAAAAACCTATAAAATATCTGCTCTTCGCAGTCTAAAACTCGTCCAAATCTTTCACTCTGCGCAATATGCAAACTCTCGACTCGTCGACTCAGGATCACTCGACTCAAAAGAACTGCCATGCTCATCGTCGCTCACTTCCGGCGAGCTTGACCAGTACTCCTCGTCATTCTTCGCCTCTCAATCCCGCATGCGTCGCAGGAGCTAATGGCACAAGAGACGGGAAACAGGTCAAAGGTCACAGACACAGTGCATCACTTTGTGGCTCTCCTGGCTGCTCTCACTACTCGCCTTTGCTAGTTCCTTTTCCAGGTGATGAATCTCCTGTCGTACTACCGGGTGCTTCTCAGTCCCCGCCGGTCTTGGGCTCGCCGTTCAAGCCTTCTCCAGACAAGAATTTGAGAGGCAGGGGCTTGAGTCTGTCGCTTTCTCCTGCAAGTCTGCCTGATCCGTCTACTCTGTCAACGCTTTCTACGCAGTCCTCCCCGCCGATACAAACTCCAAACTTACTCAGTCCTTCTGCCACACTTCGTCCGAACGCGTTCTCTGATGCTTCTATGAGTCCTTCGCGTGGTAGAGCTCGCAGTGAGAGTGCACCAAAGGCCTTCACGGGTAACGCGTGTGATACTTTGCCACCTCCGCTTGCCCGTGAATTATTTTTTGACTTTTGTTCTCCTAAATCATACTGACTTAGTTGTTCAAGCGACGCACTCTCGAGCCTCCTTCTGGCGTCGTGATGAAGACAAATTGCTGAGTCCGAGCAACTCCAATCACTCAAGACCTTGGCATACGATGTTCGACATATCGCCTTCGACTCAGGACAAACCGCGGAGACATAGCGTAGCGACAGGTACGCCCACAAAAGAATGCAAAGAAAGCAAGCACAAGGACGCAGACGCGCCTACTATTCCTACTGAGCAGATGGAAAACTGGGAAATCACGCGAAAGGTATTACGATTCTTGTTCAACTATTCTTGCCAACTGTATGCGCTTGCTTACTCATGTTCGTCTAGCGTGTGGCTCAAGCTGCTTCCTCTGTTCTTGGCACCACGGCTTTAATCGCGCATGAGGTTCTCCTTACCTCCGTCGATCTGGTCGAGCTCGCTCCAGTGCCTGGTCTGCAAGCTGCTGCGAGAACATTGCTACAGATATGGGCTTGTCTGCAACAAGTTGACGTAAGTCTCGCTGCTCCCAGTTATTCGTGACACTTGTTGATCAACTCATCACAGTCGAATCGCCTTCAATGTCTCCGTTTGACTGAACATTGTGCGGACATTCTGCTGTCGGTTCGTCAAGAGGTGTATGAAGCAGGAGATGAGGTCGCGGAAGAGTTGAAGTTGCCGTTCGACAAATTGACAGAGTAAGTTCTTCGTCGATTGCCTTTGTCATCTTATATCCTCTGTTTCGATTTGTAGATCGTTCAATGATGTCCATGCTCTTCTTGTCAAACAAGCCGGGAGACCGTTCTTGAAGCGATATCTCAAGAGAGACGAAATTTCGAGGCAACTTCATCAATGCGATATAGGGCTACAGGAAGCTCTGGGAATGTTCAGTGTGAGTCAAAGAATTTCTCGGGTTGAATCCGTGTCATCTTCCTGCTCGTATTGGCGAATTACTTCGTCTCACATTCTACTTCGAACAGATATCTATCCAAATCCGGATTCTCAAACAAGTTCAACTTGCGGAGGCGCGGAGACAACATGATACGCAAGAGTTGTTGAGGGGTGTGGCTAATCTGAGTCAACTGAGTCAACATGGATATCCTCTTCAACCTCCGAGCTATGCATCGTCGACGGCCCAGAATACTGCTGCAAACCTTGACTTCCCAACGCCCAGGGTATCTCAGATCGCAACTCAGACTCTCTTGGATTCCTTGCCTGCTCCCGATACCTCCTCGGCTCCTCCTCGACCACCTTTTCCATACGCAGCTTCTAACCTTCTCATGCTCAGTGCAAGCAAGTCCGTCAACGCCTACACTTCGGCTTCCGCCTCTTCACAGACTTTGAACGGGTTACCGGCGAGCAGTTCTCATACGTCTCTGTCAAGCTCTGTATCCATTAAGCAAACGAATGAGCAATCTTTGGAAGCGTATTCATGGAAACATAATTCCAAGATTGCTTCTGTGGTTACGAACACGAACGTTACTTCTTCTACGAGCTCTGCTCAGGTTCAATCCTCGTCTCGTCCTGTTTCTCCCAAGGATACCGAGACTCAAATCATCCCGTCCGTATCAATTACGCCTTCTTCCAGACCTTCAACGGCTACTTCTTCGTCAACTGCGTCTGTCGAGACTGGGGTGTCTACGCCAGTTGGGGGTATTGATGTTATCAATACAACTCAGGCAGCTCCGAAGCAGATGTCGAAAACTCAGCTTCCCCAACCTCCTATTCAGTTAATTCCTACAAAGTCGAGCATTGAAGCCGCTGGAGCTATGCTTGAAGCCATTCAGCGGGAGGGCAAGGTCACTTCCGA